TCCATCCCCAGAAGGCTAGGGGTAGGCCAGGCTAGATTCATAAAAACAGGTAAAATACGTTTTTTAATAGGAGTTAAAATATACAGGATGATAACACACAGCGATCCATCTGTGTCATTTTAAGATGTCAACAAAATCCGAAGGGTCCACACACTAAATGATCCTCTGTTATTTTGTCTAATTCGGGCGTTTAGCTCCATTGCGTTAATTTTTCTGGCATACTGTGTTTGTGCCTAAAGCTCATTGTTTATTTATGTCATCTTTGGAGATGCTCGGCGTCAGTGTGTCGTCTCCCGAGGGAGCAGCACTGACCTTAATAAGTCCTCCATCTGAGCACGATACATCACTACAAAGACATCGGTTTAACGTGCAGAGTGTTTGCACAGAGGCGCTAAATCAGTCGACACGATGACAGCCAGCCTGCACCTTGGCTAATCTCATGATCCAGCCGTGCACGCTCGTTCGCCCCCATTCTCCGCGACTGAGAACAACAGCCGTGACTGCCATGTTTAAAGAGACAAAACAAACAATTGGTGCAGTCTTACCGCTTGAACATTCCCTCCATATCCTTAATCTGCTTGCGGGAGAACTCTTTGAACTCGGTGTAAGGGTTGAAGACCCGGGTCGCTCGTGGTGCAGCGTTACCCTCGTTGATGTCCAGCCTACGCGTCAGTTTGGCGGATAGCTCGGATGATGAATCTCCACAGGCAGCATCTGACCCCTGCGGTTTGGGTCGGACAGGGCTCTGTTCGGGCTCGGGCCTCGCTATGGTCTCCTGTGTAGCAGAAAGCCGCGATTGCAGCTTTCGTGCGAGCTCTTCAGATGCCATGACGAGGATGGAACCCTATCTTGTGAGGCTGTCAGAAAGGATGGAGCGAGAGTGCTACCAACGTTAGAGTGCGTGCACCAGTTAACGAGATACACAAAAGTGCTTCCGGTTGAACTTCAGAATAAATTTTTCTGCGTTGTAAATGTTTGCAAAATGAGCCGATTACTCTCTCCCTAAATGAATGCTAGCAAATGTCTTGGCTGGCTGCTATGTCTGGCGTCACCTTTTATTGCCTTGGTGTCTTGCTTTAGCAAACACAAGGAGACAACTCAAAATTATGCTGGTTTAAACTGAAGTAATTCAGAAGACGCTAACATCCGGGAAAGCCGTTTTATTGTTTAAGTGCGTGGGCAAAGTTAGATGAACAGTTTCCCGTTATGTCTGATCTAGACTTCTGGGGGGGCCTTTGTACAGTCTTCTCTAAGTCGCTGCCCACCAGAGGCGGTCCTAGCCTGTTTGGTGCCCTGGGCTAATGCGTCCTCTCGACAGGGGCACATTGCCAACTGTGACTTGTGAAAATAATCTGTTTATATTTGTTATTAAACTTAGTTATGTTTGGTTATTGTTTTATATGGAATCATACCTATGTGACAAATACATAATATTACATAATACTTTGAACTTGTGTTACTCTCACCTTGACTAACAACACAAGACAATGCATCATTAGAATACAAAGAGACTGCACCAATCACCGAGAGAAACCTTTCCTCTATTCATGCAATTTATTGTTTCACAAATTTGCAAAGTTATGTGTTGATGTACTTTTTCTTAACTTCATCTGCACAATTGTTACAGTAGTTCCAGTGGCTGTAATGCTATGATATATTTTATTAGTCTTTACTATCAGCTTGCTAAACATAAGGATACCTCACAGGTCCTGACGATTTGGTCTTATTTGAACAAGTTCTGAATATTGTGGGGCATTTGTTTGCTTTTTTTAAAAAAAATATTTGTACAGTTCTGAGGTAAAATGAGTATTTAAATATAAGAATGTTTAGTTTAATAAAAAGGTGATTTAATGGTTTGCTTGAAGGGGATTTCTGATTCCTATTGCTCTTTTTTCCAGAATATATATGTCACGACTGGGGCAGCAGTCGTGTGGAGGTGAGAAGGAGGATCCAAATATCAGACAGGTGCAAGTGAGTTTTATTTACGGTGAACAATAACCAAGGTGCGGGCAGAACGGACCAGGACCAAAATGGAGGCCCCAGAGTCCCAAACAAAACGTCCACAACATACATAGGGGAGCAGGGTCCGAAACATAGTTCAGGTGGCCGGCCCGGGGGTCGATAGCACCGAAGGCCAGGATGAGACAGTCTAGGGGCCCAGCCGTGAAGAAGGCAGTGGTGGCGCACAAACAGTTCAGGAGGCCGGCCACGGGGGAGATGGTGGCGGCACGCAAACAGTTTAGGAGGCCGGCCACGCGGAAGGCAGCGGCGGCGACAACCTCGTCCAGGAGGGCATCCACGATGGCGATGATGACCAGCCAGCAGCCTAGAAAATGGCCGGTGATGTTGAGGCGCCAGACGCGGACCGGATGGCGGCGTGCCAGTGGCAGTACCAGGCGAGGATGAGGATGAGGCTGAAGCTGTATCTGAGGCTGAAGGTGAAGCTGAAGCCGACGCTGAAGTTGACGCTGAAGCTGCTTAACGAGGCTGAAGCCGACGCTAAAGCTGCAGGCGGGGATGATGCTGATGATGATGCTGCTTCCGGTGAGGATGAGGCTGATGATGATGCTGCTGCCGGCGAGGATGAGGCTGATGATGATGCTGCTGCAGGCGAGGATGATGTGGATGAGGCTGACGCTTTTTCTTTCTTTTTTTTTTCTTTTTTTTTGCCTGTCCCGTTTGGCTCTTTTGCCATCAGAATTATTGTCTAAAGGCGATCCCAGCCTTGCCGTAATGGTCTATTTGATTCAC